GAGAGCCAGATTTCCTTGGATAAAGCTTGTCTGCAATCTTCACACGCAACATCAGCTTTCCAGATACCACAGACCACTTTTTCAAAGCGCTCTGACAAAGTTAAAACATGTGAAGCTTGCAGCTCCCACTACATTGCTATGACCAAGAAGGGTAAAGGAATAACATTATTACTTGCTCAAAAATCGAAGAGGCATCGCCCTTCGAATCTCGAGAGCTAGACTCCCAACAGGAATACTTTCTCAAAAATCGAAGAGGCACCACTCTCCGAATCTCAAGAGCCAGACTCCCAACAGGATTGCTTTCTCAAAAATCGAAGAGGCACCGCTCTCCGAATCTCGAGAGCCAGATCCCCGACAGGATTGCTTGTTCGAAAACTGAAGAGGTATCGCTCTTCGAACTTCGAGAGCCAGATTTCCTTGGATAAAGCTTGTCTGCAATCTTCACACGCAACATCAGCTTTCCAGATACCACATACCACTTTTTCAAAGTGCTCTGACAAAGTTAAAACACGTGAAGCTTGCAGCTCCCACTACATTGCTACGACCAAGAAGGGTAAAGGAATAGCATTACTACTTGTTGTTAGGGAGACTCCTATATATGTCGACCTTCATCCTCTACGGACAGGCAGACCTGCAAAAATGCTCAACCCTTCCTCATATCTGAGAGGGCACTCCCAACGAAGCCTCTCGAAATACTCAGCTTTCTTCCCCCCTCCCCCAATAATACCTATGCAAACCAGCCACACCAGAGCAAGAGTATCTCATATCATCAGGGTCAAAAGCAAGAGTATCCCATATCATGCTTTTTCCCTGTCTTTTCCTTTGCCCTTGTTCTTACCTGCAAGACAAGGAGAAAGAGAGCAATCAGTCAGCACTTGGAATCAAGCTTCCAGTCAGGAACTGACTGCCTGGAACCCCTTGCCTGATTACTTACCTGGCATTGCTCTCGAGTACTCATCTTCAACATCTTATGCTTCCAGAAAAGATACCACATCTGCCTGAGGAACAGATAGGGCAAGTGAGAAGGATACAAGGAAGCATGTGGAGACAAGCGCAACAGAACACATGCCGATTCATCTATTACTTCGTCAACAGCAAAAGTATCCCATATCATCAAGGTCGAACGCACTCTTGATTTGATGGACTTGTTTTGACCCTCAAATTCTTGAGTCGGCCTTATACTCTGGAGGAAACCAGAAAACCCTTCAGCCCAGTTCAAGAATAAGCATGTGGAAAGTTACTTCTTCAAAAGCAAAAGTATCTCATATCATCTCTTCTCCATTTGCTTCTCCTTATCCTTGTTGCTGTTTACGACACAAGGAGAAGGAGAACAATCAACCGAAAGCCGAAGTCGAACCTCCGATCCAGGTTGCTTGCTTGGAAGTCTGATTGCTTACCTTGTCTGTTACCTCTTTCGGCAAATCTCCTAGCTCGGCGACTTGGGGGACTCCTACTATAGGGTTTTGTATCGCACTTGACCAAGCCCGAAACTACAAGTAAGCTTCAAGTGAAATTGATACATTACCTTGTGCATCTTCATCGGTTAAAGATACCACCCCTGGATGGAGGAAAAGTACTTCCAGAGAAGATGCCACATCTACGTATGAGACAGATAAGGCAAGTGAAAATGATACCACACTTCGGTACTTAGAAGTTTCGTGATTACTCAATGGCTTGGATCTTGCAAGTCCCCAACCGAGGAGCTTCCCTCACTCGGGAACTTAGGGGAGCACTGTTTGTACCATACTTGACCAATCCCGAAACTACTGAGCACCGGTCAACGTTATACCGTCAAGGACCCAGAAGAGTTTCCCTCCAACCAGGAGGCCAATCACAGCGCGACACGTGTTGACATCAGAAGCCAATCATAGCGTGACACGTGTCAACATCAGAAGCCAATCACAACACGACACGTGTCAATGTCAGAATGAAACTAGAAACTCTCTTCTATAAATAGAGATCATTCTCTCACAAATTTCATAATGTCATTTGTACTAAATCATTCACTAGTACTTACTAAAGAAGATCTTGAACCTATGTACTTGTGTAAACCCTTCACAATTAATGAGAACTCCTATACTTCGTGGACGTAGCCAATCTGGGTGAACCACGTTCATCTTGTGTTTGCTTCCCTGTCCCTATCTGTTTACTTACTTATCCACACTAGTGACCGGAGCAATCTAGCGAAGGTCACAAACTTAACACTTTCTGTTATACCAAAGTCCTCGCTGATTTTGTGCATCAACAAATTGAATTTTTACAAGGATGATCTATGAATCGAGACTTACAAAATAGACGGTTCAAATCGTTGAAGTTCAATTTGGAGTGAGCCCCACATCTAATCATCATGTTTTGAAAAAATATGAGGATCCCTTTGCATAAGGGGCTGTATATATATAAGTTCAGGCTAAATCACTCATGGGCAACCAAAACTACTTGATTTCCAACATTTCTGCCACTAAAAAGTCCCACAAGAACTGCAGGAGCACTCTTAAGGCCTTCAGCTATGTCTTCCAGATACACTATTTTCCCTTCTCTGATGTAGGGGATCACCATGTCCAGAAACTTGGGGTAGAGGTGGAAATAATCAAACACGACGAAGCCTTCGATGCGAATCCGATTGTAGATGATAAAGACGAGGTTGCTTGCGGCTGTTTGAGATTGTAATATGAGATCAATCCGTATACCGCAATTCGGCCATGACGTCCCATGTTAATGAGCACAGCATCCAGCATTTTTCCTCCAACGTTCTCAAAGTAAATGTCAATGCCTTCAGGGAAGTACCTTTTCAAAGCTGCCTCCAGGTCAGGCTCTTCCTTATAATTGAAAGCCTCATCAAATCCAAGCTTGTTCTTTAGTAGATCGACCTACAGCCATGAAGGCAAATTGTGGAATTTATGATATACACACACACACACACAAATGGACTCGTTGAGAAAACCTGTTTTCTTTCCAATTTTCTTCAGCTTTAGAGTGTAGAATCACCTTTCAAAGTGCAGAACTTAAACTTTATGGGTTCTAATCTCGGATTAGTTGATGGCTTGGATTATGCGTTTTAAGTAGTATCAAAGTTGAATAAACTTTATCATAAAGTGAGACTTTCTCGAAAGGTCCATCCTTTATAAAAGAACGAACATCCTACAGAAAGAATCTCAGTTGCTTTAACTTGTTTTTCATACGGTAATATTTGACACTAAGTGGAAGGAGGATATGTACTTTATGGAGAGGGATTGGCAATGCCACACAATGGCCCAACCGCTTACTAGGTATCAAACTCAGTACAAATATTATACATCTCGCCATCCATTTGAATCGAACATGAGACATTTCACTTACAAATGAAGATGAATGCTACTAGACTGTGGTACTAGATGGTTTTAGTCGCTTGGACTTTGTTTGCTTAAACTTGCACTTAATGAGGGTTCTCCTTAATCGTTAATTTTATTCCTAAATGATCATAAAGCTAATAACTCACCTTCTCTTTACTTCCAACACTTCCAACAACATAGCATCCCATTAGCTTTGCAAACTGCCCAACAAGCTGACCAACTGCACCAGCTGCGGCAGAAACGAAGACATAATCTCCTTTCTTCGGCGAACAGTTTTCATGAAAACCAACGAAGGCAGTTATACCCGGCATGCCTAAATGATTCAAAGAAACAAAAGACTAAATAGTGATTGTACAAAGTATGAACATATATAACTCATAGTTTTGATGAAGAACTAACACATACCAACAAGTCCAGTATATAGTAGGAAAGGGGAACATCGGTGTGGTGGATTTTAAAGAGCTGTTCTGGTTCTGTGATGATGCTGTACTCTTCCCATCCTGTTGTCCCCCAAACCAAGTCACCTTCCTAGAACTCCGGGTGCCCCGACCCCAAAATTTTAGCCACTCCAAACCCATTTAATGGCTGAAAAAATGCATCAACAAGTATTTATTTTCAGATTTTTCATTTAGTGAATTCAGTTCTAACATGCTTAAGCCAGATGATTGAATCTCAACCCTCTAAAATGAGAAAGCATAGTGATTTCACACTACGTCTCCTCCTTCCCCTATGCTATTCTTTGATTTATTCAATCCAAACGCTAAAAAACAGAGACGAGTGCAGAGGATAAAGGAGAGAGAAAATATTTTTCTGATAAAATATACTTGAATATGGTCATTCGTGCTACGTGAGTCTGTAAACAGGAAAAAAAATTCTTCCTCTGCACCACTTGCCGTTGCCATTGTCATTGCCGTTGCTCAACCAAAACCAAACTCTCTATATATCTTTTCAGGTCCTCTGTTTCTTTGAAAAATATGTAGCATTTAATTTACGGGTAATGCTAGGGTGACCAAAATTTTAAACCAAATTATATGATTGTTGATGATTGGATTAGTATATTGATTAAAGTGCTTATTTTTTTATTGGTAACACGTCATTTGGTTTACTTAGCATTATCCTTAATATACGTATCAAAGTTTGCTTGATTTTGTTTGTCAACGTGTTTTAGGTGTTGTATGGTGGCACGTGTATGGTTGGATATATCTCCTTCCATTCCATTTCTGCTCAAGAAAGCTACGGTTATGTCATCATCTTAAGGAATCATAGACGGAACTAACACTATAGCTGACAAGAAAAGTCCATGCTCCTAATCTTCAAGAGCATTCCACCACACGAATACACTGACATTGCCACATGGGGTCCCTTGTCATTCAAGCAACATAACCAAAGTATTTGTAGGAGTTTCGTCATCTGGGAAAAACAGTAACATTGACAATTTCGCACAGAAACATAGCTGCTTGTGTTTGATGTGTAAAGGATACTTTGTCCAGCAACAGCATGGGATTTCTAATCGCCAAAGCGTCGTCCATGAACCTTTACTAGGACATGAATTCTAGCTCATTCAACTGGGAAAAAATTAGTCGTTTCACTCCATATACCCTGAAAATAAATCAATCAAAAGGAGGAGGAAGACAACCGTTGATTTCGGGACATGGAATCATCGCAGCCATATTTGAAACGAATACAGCGATGGTATTTCAGCAACCGTGAAAGAACATGTAGAGAACTGAACAAGATTACAAGGCAGAAAACTCTACATATTGATTTAAAAGGGTAACTATAAATAAGCAAACTTTTTTTATCATATACATAATTCCCAACAAAAATTTGTTGGAAAATAATTCGATAGAGAGGCCTAATCTGGAAACGGCGGAAGCAGCACTACAACTCTCACCTTGAAAGTTCTACAGATGAATTTTCAAATGGGTTTCAGCATTCTGGAGATGAATTTTGTCGTCATTATTCGGGCATTACAAGTCATAGTGAATTGGAACAAGAGGTGAGTTGTTCAATTGCTCAGGTTACTGTTTAACTCTAGAATTTACTAACCACGAAGATTTTCGTGGAAAATTAACACTATTTACACATTTTCCCAGCATAAATGGTAACAGTGGCATTACCTTATAGATGAAACAAGCAACTTGCAAGCATTCACTATAGTCAATTTATGCTTCAACAGGGTCTTTTGCTCCCTCAGTTCTGTTCTCTTCAAGTGGTTTTTTGACTGTCTCAACCGTGGAGACTTCTTCCTTACCATCTTCGTCAGAACTACCCTTGTTGCTAACGAAGATCCCTAAAAAAAGTCACTCGCTTTAAAAATTTATAATACCAATTGAACGAATTATTATAACTAGTTGTCCTTCACCAACCTAGGAACCATATTCCAGACGCAAGAAACAGAACAGATGTCACAGCAAGAGTTGTTATCCTCCAATTTTTAACATGGTCCTGCATATGAAAAGAACAAAACCCAAAACAGGAAAAACGAACATGGTGAGGATGCTAAACTGACAAGACAACCCTTCTATGAAAATTCACTCCAAACTGAACACTGGAATCAACTTCTTTCCCTTGCTGTCAGTATACCGCCTAGGAGCTGCTTCTCCAAATACCAGCAGTAATAGAGTGACATAATTATATCACCTAAACATCAGCAGTAATCTCCACTTCCTCAAACAAATTATATAGAAAAGAACTTTGAAGGCGCACCTGGAGTATTCCAGCAAGAGGCGAGGAAGGAACATCACCAAAGATGTGGATTGAAACAGTTGAGACAGCCATAGCCATTGGCCTAAGACTTGGTGTCACACACCGCAGAGACACATAATTAACTGGAGCCTGCTAAGGAAAAGTGATTAACAGGGCAAACGTTATATAAAACTGGAATAGTATGTTATATTTATTATATATCAGTGAGCAGTCATTATCATATTATATGCTTCAGACCAACCACATATGTGTGGGTTTTCATCCCTACTGGTGGTGCTTATGTGCATAATCAAACGTTGAGTTATGGCGTTAAAGTTTAGTAGACAAGATCATACTCATCATATACTAATCCACTCATTATTATAAGCAGACTATTACAAATTGAAGTTTAGCATGCACAGTATGAATTGAAACCACCAATGTTCAACCCAAATCGGAGAATTTTAAGATTACCTGGGTTGCAAACACAAGGAGCTCCCCCAATGCGAAGAGAACTACAAAACCATACAAGTTCCTTACACAGAAGGCACTGAAGCAAAATATTGCGCCTAGAAATGTTGCAACAGAGAGAAGCTGTGAAAGAAGCAAAGGGTTTCAACAGCACATTCTAATAAAACATGTTAAAGAAGACCGTATCGTAAACGCTGGACACAAGCAGAACTTACCTTAAAAGCGTTATAAATTGTGGCAGTCACTGCATCAAGGATGAGCCCTCCAGCTAACGTCCCCAGAATTCCACAAACAATTGTAATAGCTCCGAACCACAAATCTGGCTTATTCTGTCCAAAGTTCCAATGAACGAGAATACTGTCAGAATTGTTAGAATATTATTTCCTTTATGCTAGACTGCCGTTATTAATATAGTCTATTATATTCTGATAATGCATTTATAAGGTAAAAGAGCTGATCCCATAAGTAATATCACAGGGAGATCATCGATATACCAACGCTTTTGATAGTTAAGGTCAAAATTCAGTTTCCTTTTAGCAAAAAAAGCAGGATTACATGACAAAAAAAGAAAAGAAAAACAAAAGAGCAAAGAGCTATACCATATGATAAATGTCATAACCAGCCTTTGGTCCCCAGTACGAGTAGGCTCCAATGACAAAGTTATATGACACATAACCTGCCAGTCAATTAAATAGTGAGTAAAAAAAATATAAATAATTTGTAAATAATAAATAGTAACCTTTAGTAGCACTCTATCAGAACTTTCTCCAGTTAAATTAGTGTAAGATTGCAAACATTTCCACTTTTTTTTTTACCCAATACAGGTAAAACATGATCAAGATCTATAAGATTAAGTACAATTGAAATTATATTTTACTATATTAGGATAAAATTTTAGAAGAACAAGTAGAGGATGAGGGAGTACCTAAGACATTAGCAACATAAACTTTATCGAGCAAAAGCGCTTTCATATCTCTTGAGAATCTTGAGAGTTGGCTCAAAGACTTTTTAGCAGGGCTTGGCCTGAAATTCACAAAAAGATGAACAATCTAACAGATTAGAAATACCATTTTAGGATGTTAGATGTGTAATGATCCTGTCCTACCCTCTCTATTGATTCTATCACGCTGACATTACTAAAACTTTTTTTTTCGGTTGATTAGAGGGCTAGCGGCCAAAAGATCCAACAGCAGATTAAGAAGCAAGGTCTAGCCACAGGAGACACAAGGAAAAAGAGAACAATGTATTTATTTAAACATGTTACTAATGTGCCCATATCTGAAATGCAACTGGCATTTGAATTGCAGATGCATTGCAATGGTTTTTGTTATTTGACCACCCTACCTGGTAGTGCTCAGCAGGTTTTCCCAGTTGACAGAGAGCAGAATGGGAACACTTCTGAAGTGGGCTAATAATTCTATTTTTCTCATAATTACGAAGGACAGTGAAGATAACCAAGTAATAGGGAAAAAGATGGATGCAATCGTTACTTACCAAGAAGCTTTTTCTGTGACATCTGAATCTGCAGTTAGAAGCTAATCAGAATAAACATACAAATTTGGATAACAAATAACTTCTTGAAATTTAAAAAAAATATATATCAAGCATCGGAGAACTGCTTCCACACTACCATTCATAGTCATTACGTTGACCATCTTAGATCCACCCGCAGTTCCTGTCCTTACAAACGCATCTAAGGAAAAGCTACAATGTAACTGATTAAAAAGGTCGTACCCAGTGCACAAGGCTCCCGCTTTACGCAGGGTCTGGGAGAGGTAAATGTCGGCTAGCCTTACCCCCATTTATGGAGAGGCTGCTCCCAAGTCTCGAACCCGAGACCTACCGCTCATGGGCGCTGAACAAGGTTTCTCACATTAATACTTTTTAAGATTAACAAGGGATATCTTTTAGAAATTAAAGAATGGAAAGTTCGCCCCATTGTTATCCTACATTAATAGTAAATGACAACACAAACTGTTCTTGGGACCATTTTCGAACTAAAAAAATACAGAGTAATATTTCTTTTTTGAAAAATGAAATCGACTTTGCAAAACAACAATAGAACATGAAATACCTTCAATTAAAGGACTAGTTGCTTCAATAGGTTCCAAAGTTTTTCTTGTGTCAGCAGGAGCAAGACCTAAAGTTACCAGTTAAGTTACATTACAACAAATCTGATGGATCGTACATAAAACATAAGCTTCTTTATCACAGACGATGCATCACAGAGTCACAAAAAGAACGAAATGATAAAATTCACCTTTCAACTCCAATGGTTTCATCACAAAAGCCAATACACAAAATGGAAGCATACTTAATGCCTCTCCCCAGAATGCATAACGCCAACTGAAACTGGATCCCACCTAAACATTGATCCAAAGCAGAATATCATTACGACAAGACATCTACCCCAGTGCAAAATCACCATGATATACAAGGATGCTACCAAAAGAGAAATTTGATTTATTCAATCCAATGACCACAAATAAAGAGAGGTGTATGAAAGGCTAAATTGCAGTTGAAATCAATTGCCCTTACTACTAAGAACTAAGAAGTTGAACAAGCCATTACCTTAGTACAAGGAAAGAAACGCTTAATTTTAAAACACTAGGATACATTCCAAATTCAGAAGTGAAAGGGAACCTTCAAGGGCAGATAGTATTGCATGTTGTTTCTTGCAACCAACAATTTAAGTTATCGAACTTTTTGATTGGTTTTGTAGAATGGGAGGAAGAGAAAGTGAGGGAAAGGCCAGCAATCGTCTAGATACGTGAATAGCTATCTCTATTATTACAGACCCTAAAATATTGAACTGATTTTGTCAATGATGTCATGGATATCCAACAATATCATGTGAGGTGATTGGTACCATGAGTAAAAGCGGATAGATGAGCCTAGCCACAGTAAACCAATTAACAAGCTCCAATAGACCCGCCCTCACCCAAAAACAAAACAGAATTTTGAAAAATTCAACCAGCAGCCTTTATATATGTACAAATATGAAGTTAGCTTGCAAAATTTAAAACTTACAAATCCGCCGTATACATAGCCCAAGGCAATTCCAGTTGGTATACACATGTAAAACATAGCAAGCCATGCTGTTTTCTGGGCCCACAATTGACAAATATTCAGCATAATTGTGAATAATCATCAAATACATCAAATATTGTCTACCTCTGAAACATATTTGATCGTAAAGAACAATAGGGAGGGATGAAGAGAAGGGAAAGAAACCAAACCTGAGTTGCAGGAGCATGGTCATCGATGAATGGTGCTGCAAGACTAATGAAAGATGCCTCACCAACTCCAACCAGCCTAGAATGGTAAACCTCAATTATAAACTCACAATCTAACACAGGAAGGTGATGCTGATGCAAAGAACAAAGCCAAAGTTGTAAAATCGGAGAATAGTACAGCATTGTTGCACTCACATGCGACATATTGCAATGGTCCAAAAGTTAATTGAACCACCACACCCGGCTGTGGCAAATGTCCAAATAGATAATCCAACTCCAATCAGCCTAAAGGGATTGTGACTGAAAAGACAACAATGCTTATGAATACTGTAAGTTAGCAACTCATCTCATGCATACTGTAAGTACTCACCTCTTTGCCAACGATGCAAAGATGGGTGAGGCCACAAGAAGCCCAACCATAAATGCAGATGACAGAGAGCCGTCTTCAAAATTGCTCAATTTAAAATCTCCCCTGTAAGAAACATGCCACCGTAAACCAAATACAACCAACAGATCAAAGGAATCGTGAAAAATAGTGCAAATTATTCAAACAAGTGACCCTAATTAAATGCTTCACGGATTTTCAAAAACTTATCGGAAATGAATCTAGTTTCTTGATAAAACAAAAAAATGGATAATAAATGCATATGCCACAACAGCCACTGGATTAGACAGTAGAATGCCAGATTAATATTGGCCTCTAAGGCTCCGAAACTCTCATAAGAAACTTTAAAAATCTTACTGAATTCCGGTACCCGCGGTGCAAATGCCGCTAGGATCACAAATCCCAATGCTACCGTTGACACCATTGCTGGCTATTGCTCCTCGATCGACATAATTAATCAAGTTAATCACACAGAACATCACGAGCAACCTGTTTTTCATACGAAATAAACAAAATATTAGATCACATTCCACGAGCAACCTCTTCCCTTCAAATGCAGCTTCAAAATTTGAAAATTTACTGGCTCAATTACATTTCCAGATAAGAAAAATGCAGAAAACCCAAGAATTTTTAATTCAGAAGTAATTTAAGGGAACCTGAGTTGGGAATGTTTACCTTTTGGGGGTGAACCATGATGGATATCGAGGTGAGTCTGAGATGGGGCTCTCCGACATAACTGGGTTGGGAGGATCGGACGGCGGAGTAGGGGTTGGAGGAGGCGGTTGATGGTGGTGCTGCTCCTGTTGCTTCTCTCGTTGTTGTGATTCCGCCATAATAATGATGAGATCATGAGAGAGAGAGAGGAGAGAAGAGGGAGGGGTGGAGAAAGAGAGCCTTGTTCCGCAAGCAACCTCCAAAGTTTACAGCACCCTCTGCCTCTGCCCCCTCTCTCTCCTCTCTCTCAGGTGGACACATCTTTAACCATGTTTTGAAACTCATTTTTATCCATTTATAGAAAATAATAACAAATATTCATTTTTACCAAAAATTTGTTTTAGTAGTATGGTCTACGGGTATTTCTGTTCGAATGGCGAGAGTTAGTAGATAAATAATTATAAAATAATACTTGAGCAAACAAACCAACAATATATCATAAGGCCATAGTTAAGAGTATTTTTATTTGTGAGAGTCACACTACCATGTCAGGTTAGTACTAGTCCACCTGTACAATATTTGGTGAGCAATAAGATCAATATTTTGTGAACCTAAATTATAGAATAAGTGAATAGAGAAAAGACTACAAGTAGTGGATTGCTTTGGTAGTTAGAGTTTTCCTCTTCGTTCCTTGTGTCTCAGGTTCAAACCTTCCATCTCCCGTCTAGTGTAGAGAAACGTTGGTAATTCTCTCCCCCCATTTGACTTCTTGTTTATTTATCATTTTTCAATTGAGATTAGAATAATAATGTAGATGTCTGCATAGCCATATTAGTTAGAGCGTATGTGCTCTCCTTAGAGTTCAAGTCCACCTCATGACAATTTAGATTGGTTTAAAACGGTCTGGTTACAATTTCGTACTCTAATAACATAGAACTCGTTTTAGAAGTGCTTTTAAAACTACTAAAAGCGCTTTCGGAAAAAAATTGTTCTTGGGTTTCAAAAGCACTTGAAGTGCATTTAGGAGAAGCACCAGTTATGTGCTTTAAGTTTAAAAAGCACTTCCAAACATACCCACAACAGAAGAAGAAAGTAGGTTTTGCAGTAGACAATTACATCCACACTCACCCAAATTGCGTAAATCTGTTTCCACTAATTAATTCTTAAACTGTAACAACTTGACACCATTTTACACACATTAAACAGATACAGAAACCCAACTTTCTTATTCACCCGCTCATACCTACTCGGTTTCGAAACTGTACATCTCTAGAACCCAGCTCTCGGCAACGGAAAACCTGCATAGAGGAATACGCAAGCTCTAACATACGCGTTTATGTACACGTTCACAAATTTTTCAAGGCTGTATACGCAGAAGTATGGATGTCGCAGCACTCAGCATCCCACGAGTAGTCCATTTCCATGGCATCCGTTATCTTTCTCTTCCACTTCGACGGGTTGTTTTTCTTCAAACAACAGGACAGCAAATTTCAACTTTGGCATCTTGATAATAATTGGGAGTTTAGAAGAGAATCTGAAAGTTTAATGACCAGGTAAAGAATCGCATACAATTTCATCCAGGGCTTGGCTTAGAGTCATATTTCCAAACGCAGAGCTGATGAAACGTGAGAAATTAGTGGTCTCGTAGTTATGTTCGACAAAGTTCCTGTTCAAAGTTATAGCCAATGAGACATTTATAATTATACTTTCAAATGAAATAACAGCACAAGAAAATATAACCATCTGTACGTTTTCATTCCGAAGAAGAAAACTTACCCGAACCCCTCGTCGTTGGAGTTTACTGTAATTGGAGCAGCTCCGTATATTAAAGCTTTTAGCTACATACAATGAATAATTGGACATCAGACAAGGAAAATGATTTCCGTAAGTACATTTCTCCAGAAATTTTAAAAAGTATTAAAATCAAAACTAAAAGGAGAAAAGACAAGAACATAAACTAATACTGGGGAGACGGAAAGAGATAACTAACTGGAACTTGAAGGTCAGGGTCATGAAAAGATTGGCATAAGATAATATCAGATCCTGCGAAAACCAAATGTGATAACGCTTCATCATTCCCATCTATGAATTGTACATTTGCATCCTGCAGCCATAGGAGAACACAAAATATGTATAGGTGACGCGAAAAGCATGCAACAACTTTTGTTCTCACATCAAAGAAATACTGCCACTTACGACCTAATGGTTACATACATCAAAAGAATAAAAAGAATCTCATAAACACAACTATGGGTTGCATTTAGCTTGAACATATTAGGGTCTGCAGAAACTTTTGTTAAGACGGAAAAGATCAAAATACAAAAGCAATATTCTATAATTTACCACAAATGTCCTCAACACAATGAACAAGAGGCAATGCGACCTGTACCTTCAAGGGTTCATGCAATGATCCCAACTTGTTTACGCTTGATATTTTGCCAATCCCCATGACGATGAACTGTAGGAAGACACTTAACCATCACATCCATGAGAAACAATCTAGAAAAACAACTTAAATACCAGGTTCTTTAAGGAAAGTTTTCCGAAAGAAATGGCTAGTTATTTCTTCCCTTGCTACCAAGCACATTGACCATTATTTTTTTGAAATTATCCTCTGCACATCGTAAAGGCGTTCAGCAAGTCTCGGCCACTAAGCCATACAATTTTCTGATGAGAAAAGAAAAAGGGGAAGTAACTACCTGTACATCAATCCTGCTAGTTTTCGAAAATACTTCCCTCAGCTTCTCCAGATCAACATCTGATACTTTAGAGAAGATGCATCCAACCTGATAAAATATTCGTAATTTGTTGCATTTCCAGTAAAAATCAGAAAACAAGTATAAAACCTTCCATAAAAAACGTAGGTGAAAGGAAGATAAAACAAAAAGAAAGTTAAGTTATTCTGAAGACAAGGCTTCCCTGAGCAAGCAGTCCCATACCATAGATTAATTTCTGAAAGACAATCAAGGCTTAACTCGTTATGTGGATTATTTTGTCAGATAACACACATCTAACTGAAGAATGTTAATTTTGTCCATGTTTTCAACTTTTCACCCACCTAACATGGTTACCTAAGAAATAACAGGTTGTAACACACCAAGTACAAGCTAATGAAAACTAGGTGTTCACAGCTCAAATAACCTCAGATGCATACGTACAAGAAAAGTAGAAGCATGCTCGGATAACCCAAGGTGCTGCTGCAATGCAGCTTTGCAGACTGTTTTCCCTTTCATATCCTTCGCATTATACTGTACAGGAAGAAAGTTGTCCGTGGACGGATCCCAGGTGGAGTTGTCAAATCCACAAGGAGCAATAATCACTTTGTTTCTGAAAGAAAATGGGAACACCACGTGAATTTTCTTTCAGTGTAAGAACCCAAAAGAATCTGCATGAATGTTTGAGTGAGCTACTTACTTGTGAATGTTCAAGGTAGGATCCAACCCATGACTCAGACGCTGAATAACCCTGCCTTTTGAAAGTATGGATGACATAATGACAACTTTATTGGAGTAAACAACTCCACCCTGCAAATTTATAGAAAATAAAACCTCCAGGAAATCCATGCCGAATATTAAAGGAAACTAGAGCTCCCAATAAAGAATGGACTTTGAAGAATGGGAAATAATATTGAATAACAAATGAAATGAGCTGGAAACCAGGACATCATAGCAATGCTGCCTTTTTATGTGTTCTCCAAACTTATATATGGAAGCTGAAATTTGAGGGAATACAATGAAAAAGCAAACATAAAAGAACTAGAGCCTATGTATTGCAACCGTTCATAAATAAATATACTTTATTACCTTGGCCTCCTTCACAATTGTATCATAACCGAGCCAATTTCCATTCAGTTGAAAGTTGAAATGATATATTGATTCTCATTTGAATATTTTAAATTTTATGTATCTACAATTTGAATTAAACAGTAAATCATTCATAAAGTCACCAGGTCAAGGCTGGAATGCATTCTTATTTCACATCATACTCAGGAAAAACAGAAACAATACTCAAATGCTAACCCATGTTGTTACATTGTCAAAATTGGAAAAATTGCGGGAAGTTTCTCAGACATAAGATAAAATAGTGACTTTAACGTCAGAAGACTATAACATGCAGTCATTGAAAAATATCTATCCAACTGTGTATATTCTGCGTTAGTTACATGACATAAGATATATAAAGGACGGTGAATTCCTGTATTATCTTGCAAAAAATTATCAAGAGAAGAGAGACAGAATAGCTATGGAATATACCTTCAAGATATTAACGAGATGTGCCTTGGTATTATCTTGCAAACGATCAGGACGGTGAAGTCTAGCAGGATCGAGTCCGCATAACTCTAGTTTCTCTGGATGCTCAAGACACTAAAGTATCGATACACAGAGCATTATAAATTGGATCCATGTGAGTATGTAAAGTTAAAAAGAAAAATATACAGCTACTTGCCTGTGAGTTGAGGTCATGGCATGTCAATAGAATTCTTGTACCTTCAAGTCCCTGTACAGATGAGGAAAAACAATTATACGGTGGCAAGAATTCCATGCCAAAAATAAATAAATGTTTTTCTCTAACCTGCAACCACAAGTTGGTAAGGGGCAAGAAAAATACAACAAGATACATTAGAAAAATTGACTCTCATGTGACGGAAAACTAAAGCAGCCCATGACATCAGTACTGTGATGGACATTTAAGGTACTTAGATTGGCTTCCATGTTGACCACATAAAGTTTTCTGCCTTTCCACATCCTTTACAAATTTCCTTAAACAAGGTGCGAGTTGTATAATGCAGGACAGACATGTTACCACGTAAGCAAGCTGTTAGCATCATACCATCTTCCCCACTACATATTTTCCATAATTCACAGTGAGACATTGCCCTCAAATTATATCCATAGGAAAAGGAGCTTCCTTATTCGGTCCTTATTAAGTAGCTAATTAAGTTATAGCATCTCAACCAGGAATCAAATTTGAAGTATGTATGGCTAAGTACACGATGGGCTGCACACACTTAGCTATTTATTAGATCACTCTGTACACATACATTATAAATTTGTGTAAATGTATATTAAATACGTCTTCCAAGTTGCATTGCATTAAGTTTCATCAAATAAAATGAATTACTTGCAAATTTATTCTTTGAAAATGAATATTAAAAGAAAGGTTCATGCTCGGGAGCAAAGAGAAGGATGCGGTAGTACTTATTTAATGGTATTCAATATAGAGCAAAGAAAATACAGTTTTAAGCTGTACCTGTTTAACAGTAATATCCCAGAAAAGTGGCCCAATAATAGCAGTCTCCCAGTTGTGGATATGTAT